AGCCTTGAGCTCCTGACACGACCACGCACACTCTCTCACACACAAGGATACACTCTCCCACAGTGGCTTGCTTATACACAAGGCAAAAAAAAGAAAGAGAAGGAAAAAGAACGGATAGGCAGAGTCTAACAAGCACAGCTGGAGGGAGTAGAGATGAAGGACTAAGCAGGGAGAAGCTGTACAGCACCTGTGTGCATGTGTGCGCTCCAGCTGATATGAATTTGTGGATCAATCTGTTGCTGATTGCTCGACACCTTTGTAAGGGAGGTGGAAAATATTAGGGAGTTCCTGCTCTTTTTCTTGTGTGTGTTTTCAATTAAAAATTCTTTTTTTGAGACACATATTTTGCACTCCATTTAGGCAATCTCATTTCTGTGGTCTGCTACAGATTCGGTGGGACAGCAAGCCACTGTAATTGTGTCTATGTCCTCTTTTGATTGTGACTGCGAGAAGCCAAAATGAAAAGGTAGACTAATGATGATGCTGAACAAACAGCTTTAGAAAAGAGCCTTTCTTAACAGTGTATGTGTCTGAAAAATCAATCAGTGCCTCCCACCAGACGCCCTCAGAATCAGATGGTTTTCTTTGTACAACGACTGTAACTGTGAAAGTTTTTTTAAAATATATCTTTTTCTTTTTTTCCCTTCTTTTTACATTTTCATACCAGGCTAATCTTCTAACTGGGATTCTTTCTCTGTCAAAATCATTTTGTAATATAATCATATTGATGAAACACTTTTATATCCTGAAGATCTTTTTCAACATCCTTGCAATTCCAGTGTATTGCACACTGTGCATCTCTAAGGGTTCCCTTTCATATGCTGTCGCTAGTTTTTGTCCTACATGGTTACATGAACCATGAAATCTAACACAAATTGCACTTTTTAAGCATTTTTTTTACGCATGTATAAATTGGTGAAGATGACCTCCTGTAGTTCAAACGGAGCACCAGAATTGCAAAGAAAGTTTGTTTTTGAACGTAACGTGGTTGTTGGTGCCAAACAAGCTGGTCTGAGTATTTCAGAAACTGCTGATCTACTTGGATTTTCCCCACATAACCTCTGTAGAGTTTACAGAGAATGGTTCAAAAGAGAAAATATCTAGTGAGCAGCAGTTTTCTGAGTAAAAAGGCCTCAGGAAAATGGTCTTAGCTGATAGGAGGACAGCAGTATCTCAAACACCCACTTGTTTAACCAAGGTATGCAGAAGAGCACCTCTGAATGCACAGAATGTCAAAACTAGAACTAAAAACTGAGGCTAAAAGTTTTACAGGGTCATCAAAATTCAACTATTTAAGACTGAAAAACTGATTAATCTCAATCTCTGCAGCAATATTCAGACACTAGGGTCAGAATTAGGTGTAAACAACATAAAAGTCTAAATTTATGCTCCCTCGATGGCGGTGATGTAATGCTGTGGGGGTTTTCTTTGCACTTTGGAGCCCTTAGTATCAACTGAGCATCATTTAAGTGCCACAGTCTGTCTAAGTATTGTTGCTATCATAT